ATTGGAGAGAGTTAGGGTCTTGTTCTGTATTAGGCTTTGGCTTAAGGGAATATTATGACTGGTTTGATCTTCTACCTAGACCAATGAAACTTTCTTCATATCACAAGAAGTCTGTTTCATTTCTTACTATTCATGTATTCACTGAGGTAGCACTTTTATTTCCTTCCAGAACTTTCCCTAGCATTCACAACTTGGCTAACTGGCACAAGAGGCTCAGCTTCTGGCTTATCTCAACTTTGATATGCTTTCCCTTGTTAAGCTTAATCATTTCTGCCTTTTGACTTAAAGTGAGAGATGTGTAACTCTTCCTTTCACTTGAATGCTTAAGAGCCATTGTAGGGTTGTTAACTGGCCTAATTTCAACACTGTTGTGTCTCAGCAAACAGGGAGGCCCAAGGAAAAGAAGAGAGACAGGGGACTGGCCAGTCAGTGGATTAGTCAGAATACACACATTTATCTATTAAGTTTGCTGTCTTATATAGTCACCATTCTTGGCACCCCCAAACAACTCTAATAGTAACATCAAAGACACTGGTTACATGGCCATAACAGATATAATAATAATGAAAAAGTTTAAAATATTGCAAGAATTACCAAACTATGACACAAAGACATAAAGTGAGCACATGCAGTTGAAAAAATGACACCAACAGAGTTTCTCGACAGAGGGGTTGCCACAAACCTTCAATTTGTAAAAAAATACACACAATATCTGTGAAGCACAATAAAGCAACATGCAATAAAACAAGCTATGCCTGCATCTAGTTTCCCCAGTTCCTAAGCCTCTCTCCAGTGTTGTCACATTAGATCTTCTCCATAATGGATCCTCCCATGCCTAATCCTCATAGGCGTTCAGTTTCAATATTCTACAGTCTGATAAGTCAGTTATCTCTAAGATATTTGCCTTTCATTTTTCTAAGCTTTGGTCAGTATCTTTTTTATCGATTGCTAGCTCCTCTCCTGTTCTCTTTGTCCTAATGGATTTAATCACTTTTTATTAATTTATTGCCATTTGGAATGAAATGGAGATAAACACAGGTATTCAATTCTCCATGTTTAACCAAGAACATTATTTTCTATTTTTGAGTATCACTTATTTTCATTGTATGATTACAAGAACTGTAGAATTAGAAACTTCTGCTCTTTTTGCTCCCTTATGTGTGGTCTTAAAACAACAAAAATATTGAACTGTCTGTACTTATTTTTCTTTAGTGACTGTGAGCTCTTTATTTGAATTTACCACATTCCTCCTCTGGATCACAACAAGGTCCCTAACAGTGGGGTCACACTGTCTTGACTGTACTCACATGGAACCAGCAGGAAGAAAAACGGGCATCAGGAGGCAAATGACCTATTTTGACTTGGTTTTATTGATAAGTGTTATTCTCTAACATATTAATTCTCTCTCTCTTTCTCTCTTTCCCTCCCTCCCTTCCTCCGTCCTTTCTTTTGAATCTTTTAATGTATCTTTTCAGGGATTCTTTGTTCACATTTACATTTCCAGCAGTTTTATTTTCCATTTTCTTCCTGTTTATTGACCTGCACCCTTTGTTGCTCTGCTTTGTGACCCTTGCTGTTTCTGGGGATGCTCTCCAATAATCCCTGCTCCACTTAGGAAGGCCCATTTTGCCCTTCAGAGGCTTTGGCTTTCCTCTTATCCTTGAGATCTTTCTTCATACAATTAAAAACAAAGTCCATCCATTATTTGGCCTCTTGAAAGAGAATGGGGCTTTCCTCCTCTTAATTAACCTACTTATTAGACCATTAATTTATTTTTATTCTAACAGGAATTTGTTTTCCACTTAAATGCAGCTTTGTTTCTCCAGAATCTGAGAAATTTCAAGTGTCTGGAATGCATGATCAAAAAAAGTGGTGCTTTTCACTTTACGTGCTATGGCCTCTATTATTTCTGGCTCATAAATTATATCCCTTTTATTGGCTCGTTTCCTATTTTTATAAGCATATTTTGGACTCTGGCATGCTTAGCCAGAGAAGCAGCCCTAATTATTTACCCTTACAGTTCAGTTCTAATTAGTTAACTTTGAGGTGATATTTTGGTTACTTCTAGTGGAAAATCTAGTGTACCCTCCCTGCTCCCACAAAAGGAGATTGTCCCCCTAAGTATACCCTTAAGTGGTTTCTTTACCTTTGGGATGATCCTTTTCTCCTCTCTAGCAATGATCTATGATTATTCACTTACCAACCCAATGTCTTATGTCTTTCAGTCCACACTTTTTAAAAAAGATTTATTCCTAAGTGGCTTCTTTTAACAATTAATGAGCAGGAAGAGTTCCAAATGCAGCTCAGTTTGTCTGATGAAGAAATCCACTCTTCACTTTAAGTTTATATTCTCTTCCTAAAATCACCTCCAGAAGCCCTGTGATTGGAAGCCTTTAAAGTGCCCCTTAATGATCCTTATCCTCCTGACATTCACATCTTTGTGCAATGATTTCACCTTGAGTATGGGTTGGACTTATTGATTGATATGTAATGAACGGATTAAAGCAGAAGCACTGGGATGTCTCTTCTGGGATTAGGTTGCAAAGACTGTGGCTTCTGTCTTGGCACCTTCTCTCTCATTCTCACTCGCTTGCTCTGAGGAAAGTCAGCTGACACACTGAGCTGTTCTACTGAGAGGTCCACATGGGAGAAACTGAGGGAAGCCTCTGGCCAAATGCATCCTGCCAGCAACCATGTAAGTAAGCCTGAAAGTCAATCTCATCCTAATTGAGCCTCTAGATGAGACTGTAGCCCAGTGGACACCCTGACACAAACCTCAGGAGAGAACTTGAGCCTCTAACCCAGAGACCCACAGAAGTTATGAGACAATAAATGTTTGTTGTTTGAAATTGCTAAGCTTGGGGATAATTTGTCTCGTAGAAATAGATTATACAGGCTCATAAGGCAAATATTCCAGCTTTAAGTCTATGCTTTCTATATGATAAATTTCTGTTTAGATCATTCTTTCCTTTGGATATTAATTTAATTACTCATGCAAAGTTTTCTTTAAATTCTTCTTTGAGAGCAGCAAGTGGCAGTTGTTAGTCTTATTCATAATTACAACACCAATACCGACCTAACGTGTGCCTGGCACCCAGATAGATGCTGTTATGTGGTATGGAAGTTTGTTACCTCCAAATCTCATGTTGAAATGTAATCCTCAATGTTGGAGGTGGGGCCTAGTGGGAGGTGTTTGAATCATGGCAGCAGATCCCTCATGAATGGCTTAGCATCATCCCCTTGTTGATGAATTAGTTCTTGCTGTATTAGTTCACGCAAGATCTGGTTGTTTAAAAACATGTGGCACTCCCCACTCCTCTCTCACTCACCATGTGATCCACTGGCTTCTCCTTCACCTTTCGCTATGATTGTAAGTTTCCTAAGGTCCTTACCAGAAATAGAGGCAGGCATTATGCTTCCTGTTCAGCCTGCAGAACGATGAGCCAACTACACCTCTTTTCTTTATAAATTACCAAGTCTCATATATTACTTTGTAGTAAAGCAAGAACAGAGTAACACAGATGCTAACATACGTTTACTGAATTTGACCCTTCCGTCTTTTTCTACTTGTCCTAGTTTATAAGTTACTCTTCATTCTCTATATTGTCATTTCTTTTGTGATTGCAGAGTTAGAAAACCTGCCAGTCTAGTTGCCTCAGCCTTTCTGTCCTTTACCCTGCTTCCCTCCTCTAGAGATTCACTACTACTGTCTCATTTGAGGCAAATCAGCATCACCTCTTTCTTTCTCAGGGTCTCTCCAATGTAGCTGAGTCCACATGTGCTCTCTCATCTTACTCCTGCCTGAACTGGGGATACTGCTTTCTTTACTGGGAGGACAGTGCTGCCGCATAACAAGATACACTTAATCATCTTTTTGTCTTAATTATAATACTAAAAGAAAATCGAGGCCTGGAGATGTTAACTGCCAAGTCTGTGGTTCCTGTGAAATATAGAAGCAGAATAATAACTAGGTTTCCCAAAAGAGGAAACATCATATCATAGAGATTCAAATTTGAATCTTAGCTCCACCAAGCTGCCTGACCTTATGGAAAATATTCAGGCTTCTTCAGTCACTTCCTCATTTGTAACATGTAAATAATTTCTACTTATAGAGCTGTCTTAGGCATTATTCTTGATTCAGTATTCTGTCTATTCTATATTTTATCTTATATTTATAACTTCTTTGTAATAGGTTCACTTCATAATTACAATGATGACATAAACTCTATTTGGCTGATAATTTAAATATAGCAAGAACATGGCATATTTAATTGTTAATCAATATTGTATTAGCACTTTCCTTTTATGTCTTTATTAATGCCAATAAAACCAACAAAAATATTACTTCTTACCAACATTCAGAATCTTCCTCCATTTGCCTTTATTTGCTACACTTTCATCAAAGGGATCAAATATTATAATATGATATGATATTGGTGATTAGAAAACAGATGAATTGTTCCACTATTTCTAAACTGCTTAGTTTTCAAATCAAAATGAGTCTTCCAGTTTGAATGAAAAACATCACTGAAATAATCATGCATACGTAAGAAAGAAAACTGACACATGTATATTAAGTTTACATTGACAAGAAGGTAAAAACCTAAGGTAAAATTGTATTTAAAAGACATAGGCCACTTTTTTATAAATATAGGCAGCAATTGCTCTAAAAGTTTCTTTGGCAAAAATTTAATGTTAAAACAAATAAGACATAAATACATAAAGATTCCCAGTCTTGGAGGTTTAAAATAGTTATTTGTAACAAAGAACTGGGTGCTGAAGAAACTTTAGAGATTATGTAGTTTAAGGGAAAGTCAGGTCTGGAGAAGATAAACGACTGCCTGGAGTTAAGGACAGAACACCAGGATGTGATTTCGGGTCAGACTAACAGTCCAGGACAGGACGCTTTCCATGAAACTAAGCTGCCTTTCACGTTTTTGTTTGTTGAAAGAACATGTGCTCTTTGATTAATTGCAAAGGTACCACCATCTGCTTCCTACCTCTTCCTGGGACTGGTTAAATTGCTCTATCAGTTGTGTTTGAGCCAGCATTACTCTTTCCAGTTCATCTGACTTCTGTTTCATTTCCTTCCTCAAGTCTTCTGAAACTGAATCATTACTATCAATTTCCTTCTTCAAGCGAGATTCAAATTCTGCAACCAAATTTTTCAGGTTTTCAATTTCTTTTTCCTTTGACTCAGATTCTTCAGTGTACTGAATATGGGACTCATGAAGTTTTTCTTGAAGAGCGGTCACTTCCTGCCTTAGATCTCTTGTAGCGCCTGTGATTAAGTCAGATATCTGTAAGATAAATCTCATATTAGCTTGTAGGCAATAGTTTCTAGGTTACCATAGAATTCTCATGGTTTTTAAGAGGTTTATTCTCATTAATCAGTGTACTTGCTTGATCAGATGAAAACAAATCCATGACATGCAGGCCTTCAAGATTTTCTTTTTAAAAGTTAAGACTAAAACATTTATTTTTCTGCTTAAAATAGTATCCCTTGGGCGCTCTTGGAAATATATAAATTTCTGTCACTCTATTAAGCTGCAAAGGATAGCACAAGTCTTTTTTTTTTTTTTTTTTGGAGACAGGGTCTTGTTCTGTTGCCAAGGCTGGAGTGCAGTGGTATAGTAGTGCAATCATGGCTCTCAGCAGTCTTGACCTCCTGAGCTTAAATGATCCTCCCACCTCAGGCTCTCCAGTAGCTAGATCACAGACTTATGCCACCACACCTAGTTAATTTTTTATTTTTTGTAGAGATGGTGTCTCTCGATGTTGCCCAGGCTGGTCTTAAACTCCTGGGCTCAAGTAATCCTCCTGCCACAGCCTCCCAATGTACTCGGATTGTAGGTGTGAGCCACTGTGCCCAGCCCCAGCTCAAGTCTTGACAAGTAGATCAGGGCCTGTCTGGACCTAATTAGGTTGGCTTTGGGATCTCAAAATGCCTGATTTTTGGTGAATGCAAGGAGGAGAGCACTAGAGTTATACTCTACTCAAGTTTTCCTTTGACATTTTTTTTTTTTTTTTGTATATAATGGCTGGAGGAACTCTAGATACTATGCCTTCCAGAACAGTACTGCCCAACAGAACCTTCTGTGGCAAAATATTCTATGCTATCCAATATGGCAGCCACAAGCCACATGTGGCTACTGACAGTGGCATGCTGGTAAATGTTTACCAACTGACTGTCAAAAAAAAAAAAAAAAAAAGCAAGATTTGTATCTAATTTCCATTGTGTAAATACTCTAACCATAGCTCTCAAAAAACAGTATTGACTCCTGAGCACCTCATATATGACTAATGTGACTGAGGAACTGATTTTAAGTTTTATTTAATTTTAATTAATTTAGTGGAAACTTTTGTAGCCCCATATGACTACCATGATGAACATCGCAGTTGTAGAAAACACCTGAATACCCTGAAAATGTACTGCTTCTCAAGGTGGTACCTCTAGATAAATGAAAGAGAGAATAACTTTGAGAAGCTTTAGAAGGGAAAAGACTACTTGTTTTCTTTCTGCTTAAAAAACAAAACAACGAAACAGGGAAGAGCAGAGCTGCTTCTAATGAAATATATCCTTATTATTTATGCTGCAATTATTGTCATGTTATAAATATTAGCACAACAAGAAACTAGCCCACAGAGAATCTGGAAAACATTCATAGACCAAGATTCCAAGGACTTTGTGAACTATTACATAAAAAGAGTTATGTATCCACAATTTGTTTCAAATGTTAAATTTACAGAAAGAATAACGTGTTAGAAATCTCTTCACCACAATTCATAATTTTATAAATTAACATTCTATTATCTTCAATTAATCCAGGAGGGAAGAAGGTCACTGTCAGGTCTGCACAGTTGTTTCCATCACCCAGAGGATTGCTGACACTGAAATAAAGCAAGTTATCCTTGGGAGAGGAGGTTCACATAACCACAAATATATTTTTATTTTTTTTAAGTCAGTCAACATTTAAAAATCAGGAGGTTTCACTTAAAAAATGTGGATTTATGACTTCTCTTGAGAAACTGTAACATCTGGCAAGTTCCAGCCTGCCTGTCTGCATTCTCCTGCTGATGCGATCCTGAGCCACCCAGGGCTGCAACAGCAGTCAGAGGGAAAGGAGGCAGAAAGGCGGAGACTCAGTGGAGCCTGGGGCATGGGGATCCAGCAAGCAAGAGGTGAGAACCCTCTAGGGGAGGCAGAACCTTGGGGGGAGCCAAGGCTCTAAGTTTATGGCATATGCTCCATTGTTCCAATAGAATTTCACTTATAAAACACAAATTCAAAGATAAAATCACTAAGACTCTTTTTTCTTTTTTTTTTTTTTTTTTTGGGGCGGGGTTTTTCTCATTTTTCCCAGGGTGGGGGGCAATGGCGCGATTTCGGCTCACCGCAACCTCCGCCTCCTGGGTTCAGGCAATTCTCCTGCCTCAGCCTCCTGAGTAGCTGGGATTACAGGTACGCGCCACCATGCCCAGCTAATTTTTTGTACTTTTAGTAGAGACGGGGTTTCACCATGTTGACCAGGATGGTCTCAATCTCTTGACCTCGTGATCCACCCGCCTCGGCCTCCCAAAGTACTGGGATTACAGGCTTGAGCCACCGCGCCCGGCCGACTCTTTTTTCTTTTAGAGAAGGGGTCTCACTCTGTTGCCCAGTCTGGAGTGCAGTGGTGTGATCATAGCTCACAGAAGCCTTCAACTCCTAGATTCAAGTGAACCTCCTCTCTCAGCCTTCCAAGTAGCCATGACTACAGGTATGAACCATCATACTAGGCCAATTAATTTTTTTTTAAAATAGAGACAGAGTCTTGCTATGTTGCCCAGGTAGGTCTTGAATGTCTGGCTTCAAGTGATCCTCTTGCCTGGGCTTCTCAAAGTGCTAAGATTATAGGCATGAGCCACCATGCCTGGCTAGCTTATTAAGAATTTCAAGGTAGTATCTGCAGAGCATTAAATCCAAAGCATGAGGCCTTTCTGAGTGTGGGACCATGTGCTATTGCACTGGGTGTACACATATAGCTGGTGCTGCCTGTTGTTTACAATGGACTACTGAAATGGATGTACCACACCTCCTGTATAGAAATATAGAGGCCATTAGCTCTTGTCTGATGCTTAATTAACACAGACTCTTAATGCATTTATTCAAAATGTTATTTTCCCACTATGTCTTGATTAATATACATACACACATGCACACACATATACACTTTACACTCAAGTCCTATAAGAACAGAAAAACCTTAACAAGACCTTTTATACTTAGAACATACTATTTAAGGAATTTAGGGAGGTGTGATAACATTTTAAAAATATTTCTCTTCATTCAGAAATGTTGAGAATGAAAAATATTTGCAATTAAAGGCTTTAGTTGTTGGGAAAATTTTAATTATGTAAAACACCTCATTATCTTTTAATGTTGGATATTTGAGGTGTTGCAATATCTAGCCATACTAATTTTTAGTCATATAATTTATGCTGTTTAAAAAATAAGTTTATTTCAGTAGAAAAAATTCATATGTAGCAGGATTACATGCTTGTATAACTTATCTCAGTTATACATTCTGGGGAATTAGCCAAATCACCTTACCTGCATGGCTAAAACCAAGACACAGTGACCATGAGTGAAAAGGTACTGGAGTTATAAATACTGTAGTGTTCTAAGGAGGAAATAACAGCTGCAGTTTCAAATCTATCAAATAATGATAAATGTCATAATTACAGACCTTCATTTGTAATTCCTCTTGTTCTTTCTTATACTTTTGGATTATATCTTGATGTTTTTCTTTTTCAATATCAAGTTTCAGTTTTGCTTCTTCCTTAAAGAGAAGAGCTTGCTCTTCAAATTCAACCAAGTGCTGGGCCCTTTCCTTGGCAAGTTCTGCTTCAATCTAAAAAATGGCATTTAAAACACATGTAAAACCATTTTACCTTAAAATAAGTACATTAAGCTTATTTTCAAACTCTAAGTTTTAAAATGTTCTGACATTAAATTTTTAAACTACTTTTAAAATTCCAGTGTTAAAAAAATATGACTTAGAACTTGGGCCAGAAAAATTGACCTTGTGCCAAATATTTCAACACCTTCTAAGACCTGAAAAATTAGTAGAGAAGTTAGAACTATATGACAGTTTTCAGAAATACTAAAAGCTTAGTTATTTGCTCATTTATACTGTAAACTCAGTTCTTGCCAGCAACTCAGAAAATTTAAAGTTTTTGTTTTTAAGCAGATTTTGAGGGCCTTAGACTAAAATCTGCTCAAATCTCAGAGGAAATACAAAGTACAAATGTTGATTTTTCAAATGGCCCTTTCTTGATGGAGGTCATAGAAAGTTTTGGAATCGAAGATTGTCATTTTAATGTGACTAAAGTGGGAAGGATGATTAAAGGAAAAGAGTCAGTGATGCCCACACAGATGGTTTCCAACTTACAATGGTTCGACTTATGATTTTTCGACTTTATAATGGTGTGAAAGCAATATGCATCTTCAGTAGAGATGGTACTTCAAATTTTGAATTCTGATCTTTTCCTGGGCCATTGATACACAGTATGATACTTTCCTGGAATGTTAGGTGGTGTCAGTGGCCACAGCTCCCAGTCAGCCACGTGATCATGAGGACAAACAACTGATCCTCTACACTGTATGTACTGTGTTGCCAGTGTTGTTAGATACTGTGTTTTCACATTCCATCATGTCTACAGAGTATCCATTTTTGACTTACAATACCTTCAATTTATGATGGGTTTATCAGGATGTAACCCCATTGAAAGGTGAAGAACGGTTGTTTCCATATTTTGACTCAGATAGAATCATAATGCTAGAAGGGACTTTAGAAATCCCCTAATTCAATTTCTCGTGTTTCTATGAATAGTAGAAAGAATAAGCAAGGACTCTGGATGCAGATGGAGTTGAGTTTAAATCCTGGCTCTTAATCCTGGCTCTGCTACTTGCTAACTGAGTGATCTTAAGTTTGTGTCTGTAACCCTTCCTTTTAGGATTATAACTAGTTCCGTTAGGGGTTGTTACAAGGATTAAAGGAGGCAAAGCTTTTGTGTGAAGCTCTAACACAAGTAGGAATTTAATAGTGGAGATTACTTCCACACCCTGACCCTTCAGTCTCTACTACTGACTCCATACTAAATGAGTGGTTGCTGGGTGCCTCACACCTCCAGAAACCATAATTCACTCCTTCCCCAGAAGGCATTTCCATTTTCAGACTCTACTAAGCATTAGGCAGTTTTTCCTGCAGTTGAGCCAACACCTCTCTCCATGTGGTTTTAAACCATTGGTTTTGGCTCTACCTACTGAAACAAGAAAGAGAACAAATCTGTGAGTACTGGAGTCATTTACTCTTGGGAGTTCATCTACAGAGATTAAAGAAGGGAATCCCAGAGGTAGGCTGGCTCTAGATTTACATTGTGCCATGATAATAAACTCTAAAAGAGGGTAACGCCAGGTAAATTGGGAGAAAAACTCACAACTAATTGTGACTGTGATTTAGGCCAACACGACAAGGAAAGAGATCAATCTAAATTTCTCAAGTGAACAATGAAGCCAGGGTACAAAGACACAAATTTTGCTAAGAAAGTTACAGGAAGCCCTTTACATAAAATACTAGATGGAAGACTAGCCCCAGTGTGGGGTCAATAGGTTTTATTGTACTGTGTATAGGACTGAGCATTTACCTGAAGACAAAGTAATTATGTTTATATAGTACTGAATGCAAGGAGTTATTTTGGCTCTTTCAAAATAACCTTCGGGATTGTTTGGATAATAGGCTACTGATGATCTTTTCCCAACATTATAGAATTATTCAGATGGGCTGCTCTCAGACTGCTGAAGACAAAGAAAATCTCAGAGGTCCTCAGAAAAAAGAAGACATTCTTCTGAATTTCAGGTACTTATATCCACTTTGCCTTCTGGTAGCCATTTAGACAATTCACAGATGCCTCCAGTGAATTGTATGGCCTAGATATCTTGTAACAACTCCCTTCCCAAAGCCTGTTTTTCCCCCTTATTTCAGGATACAGCTCTACTATCCATCTACTCACTCAAGTCAGTAGCTGAAACATCATGTTTCACACCTCTCGCACTTATTCTCCCCACCCGATACAACACAAAATCCTGTTCATTTTACCTTCAAAAGATGCTTTGCATCCATTTCTCTATGTCTCAATTTCCATCAGCACTTCCTAATCACCTAGTTCTGGCCACCATCACTTCCTGACTGGCCTCCTTACTTTCACTCCTGCTTCTCTCCACTCCATGCTACTACACACAGCACGGTATTCTTTAAAAAATATAAATTAGATTCTTTTATTCCTTCTTCGAGGTTTCTCAATGCATTGATATATCAAAATTTCTCTATATGATCTTTTAACTGGGCCACTACCAGCCCATATAACACATTTGTGTAAACTGACAAGGCACCCCTTCCTTAGATGAGAATAGTCTCATGCCAGACATAGGACTTGATGAGCAGAGAGCAGGCTGGATTCCAGCTCCCTTTGCTGCCTTTGCCTGGTGCAGGACGCAACTTAAACACTGTATATGGTGGCAGTCCTGGATTCCTCCAATCTGACTTCCACTACTTTTCTCATTTGATCACTGTGTCTCAGCCACGCTGGCATAGACAAATCAAGAATTATGAAAGGAGAAATCAAATGCAAAACATTTGGAAAAGTTGGAAGGTATAATATTAATATATAAGTTAATAATAAATAACGTTCAATAATAATTAATAATAATCACATAGTTAATAATTGTTAATAGTAATTAACAATAAGTGACTAATATAAGCATTAACAGTTCACAAGATGCTCTGACACTATTAATAATAAAAAAGCGGCAAACTTTTTTGAGAAACTCAAGAAAAATTTGTGTTGAGGTGCTAAGATATCAAGCATTTTAAAAAATCTTGTGAGGTCAATTAGTAGAGCCCAATAGCTATTTTAGGAAAAAAATGACATCTTTCCAAATATGGATTGATTTTGCTCAAATTAAGACAGTGAGAATATACACAAACTTGGTAGAACATGACAAACTATAAATTAGATGACAGAAGGACTTTAGAAGAATCTTTAAAAAGTTTTCAAAAATTATTATGGAGACAAAGTCAATCAGGAAATCAGCAGGGTCCCTTTGATGAAGTTGAAATAAAGCATTCAGGGAAGAAAAGGTGATGGCTGATGGCTTGAATGAGCTGAATATTCTGTTTTAACAGAGTTAGCAAAGTCTTCTTGCCCCTGAACTATTCCTACTATAGGTAAAAAGAGAAAACAAGGAAGGAATATATGGACAGTGGGAGACAAAAAGCACTGCAGACAGAAGGGAGAAGGATGATTGACTATTACTAGCTTGTTTTCATTTGCACAGTCTGAGAAAGAGAAGCAAAGTGATGAGCTTCACATGGGATTTCAAACATTTAGGAAAGCTGGAATGGGATGCTAAGAACCATCTGAATGTGTTGACACCTTAGCTCAGAGAAATGAGATTACTGGTTCCTTCATGATCTGATTAGTTTGAACAAAATGATGAGCCCATAAACACAATGATTTGCCTAAGGAGTATATTATTTGGCTTTGAATAGATGCATTCATGCCAAATTGTCATGTTTATGTTTTTGAATGTTGATAGGAGCTGATAATTTTAAATATCTTAGATGACAGGAGTTATGTTTGTGCAAAATAAATAAATTTGTTGATGGTGTGCATATAAAGCATGAACCACTTTTTACAATAACTAATAGTAATTTTGATAAGGGGAAAATTATGATTTCTAAAAAAGCATGAATAATATTAACTTAAGAATTATACAAAGTAAAATCAATTATTATCTTTGTACATATCTCAGGTTTTAATTATTTGGAGTTTTTATTTATCTGTAACCTCTTCTAGCTCAAACTCCATCTCCTCGGTGAAGGCCTCCTGATGACTCCAGAGCATTCGGAGCATTGTTTTTAAATTTCTTTTGTATTTGTTGTTGAAATGCATAATTAGTATTTTATAAAATCTGTATCAATACCAATGTGTAAAACACTGTCTTTACATTATTTTCCAAGTGAGATCTTTGTGGTTGACTTTGTTATTATCATTTTCTAATTGCCCATGGAGCCAATCACCATGTTATAATATGATCACTTATTACTCAATGATACCTTTAAAACCAATGGGAGTTTTAGATGCCAAAGAAGGAATCAAATAATTTGTTTATATTTGATATGCATATATCATTTTTAAAGATACGTTTCCTAAAATAAATTATTTTACTATTTTATAAAAATTAAAAATGAATACTGGTTGAAAATTATTACAGCAAAAAATGAATGCTAAGGAATCAGAATATGTAGGCTGCAGGTCAAATCCTGTCAAAAACTGTGTGAACTTGGGATGGAAGGAGAGAATGTTCACTGAGTAAATGAATACAAGCTAGGGTGATATAGTATAGGACACTTTCTATATATTAACTTATTTAATTCTTACAACTCTGAGAATAACATACAATAATAGAACTATTACTCCCGTTGTCTAGATTAAGAAACAGACTCAGAGAAGTAACTTCACCAAGATCATAGAGCTACTACAATATGGAAAGGGTCTGTGTATACTCAGATGTTTCCGGTGAACTCTATAGCTCAGTGTGTTTAGTTTTTCCATGTAACCTGTCCCCCGACCCCTACATCTATACAGCCTAGTAAACTTGGGGCATGGACTTGGTATTTATTTAGTTTCAAAATGTTTTAGGATTGTCCAGATAACTTTCTGCTAATGATTTCTAATTTTCATTGTGGTCAGAGAAAATACTTTGTATGACTTAAATCCTTTTAAACTTATTAGGACTTATTTATAAGCCAAAATACGGTCGATTTTGGTAAAAGGTTCATGTGCACTT